CCTCCGCTTCCATTCAGGTACGCACATCCCAGAAGTTAGCAATGTTCTAGCCCCGCCCCTTTTCTGTCCATTTCGCAAGTAACATCCTTTCTCAAAGTGATTCTCAGACGTTTTCTGAGTCAGCCACCTCTCATGGTCGAAGCTACAACGCAGCCCTTGAAGAGAAGGAAATATGGAAAGCATCTGCTGCGTCGTGTCTTCTCCAAGGGAGACGGGCTCTTTGTCTGGGTGAGACCCAGAGAAACACTGAGTGCGAGGCGAACGCAGACAGACGATGTGTCTGTCTGGACAACTTGTAGCAAGAGCAGACTCCCTCTTCTCGATCTCCTTCCTCCGTATTTATCCCCTGCTCCATCCAACAATCACAACCATACTTCAAAGCGATTGCATGCAGATTGCAAAAGGAGTTCTTGGACTCGGGGTGCGTTCATTAAAGGGGCACTCCGCTGAATCACTTCTCTGAAGGAGTCGATCAGTTTTCCTGTCAAAATAACGGTCGTGTTTTCATTTTCTGAAGCACCTTTTCCCATTCCCTGTCGATCGTGGCCACCTGCACTCGCCTTTCACCCTGATGAAAGGAGGGGAAAAAAAAACAGTGAAACGGGATGCTTCTGTCACTTAGAGTGATGCCGTATCATGATCGCACAAAAGCACGTGGAGAAACAATGGGAGCATTAGGGAAAATGCTGATTGCTCGAAAAGCATTCGTTCTCTTACTGCTTCCATCACTGTCCCAACGTTATCTTTTCCAGGAAGGAAGCTACCGGAGTGGATTTCATGACTAGAAAGGCTGGAGTCGCTGGAATACTTATCAAGTAGAAAGTTGCTACGTATTAGCATGTATCCATCTCTCTATTTGGCATTGAAGCCAACGGGATTGGAATGGAATATGATGGAATTGAAAATGGCGCGTGGATGTAAGCGGCAGACAGAAGAGGAAATGAAACTATCCAGATAGATTGGAAAAGCTGGATTTTCAGTCGATTTCCTCTCCCTCGGCTCATCGTATAGCCCTTTTCACTCTCTCTTAATCGTCCCATGCCGATTGAATCCTTTGAGGGATGGGGGTAAGCATCACTGCAGTAAAGCCTGAGAACCGAATTGAAAATGTGTATATACAGGGTGTCCAAAAAGGTATGGAAATATTTTTAAAATAAATATCTCCCTAAATTGTGCTTCAAATTAAATGATTAAAGCAGTAAAATTAAGTGAAACTCAAATATTTTAAAACCTGTTATTGCAATTTCACATGGGCACTATTCGTGGCTCTGTAGACGTCCAGACGATGTTCTAGCTCTTACTGTAACTTATGCAGTGTCATGTGTAAATATCTGGATAACTGGGACAATTCTGTTCTACAGATCTTGGAGATTCTCAATTTTTCTTGAGTAAGCAATGTCCTTAACATAGCCCCACAATAAATTAAACAATCCAAGAGTGATGAGTTCAGGTTCAACAAAAGTCTAATTTTCCAAGATTAATGTTGCACTTGCACATTTTAGCAACTCATGCACGACCAAAAATTCCCAGATCTGTGGATTGGACGAAGCGGGCCCATTCCATGGCCTCCAAAATCCCCTGAAATGGCCTCAGTGGCCTTTTTCTTGCGAGCTGTCAAGGACATCGTCCACTGGAGCAAAGAGGACGATCGATCAAGATCTAAAGAACAGAATCGTCCCAGCTATTCAGACGGTTATGCCTGACACGAACTCAAACATCACTTGGACATCGACAGAGCCATGAATAGTGCCCATGTGGAATTGCAATAACAGGTTTTAAAATGTTTTGAGTTGCACTTCATTTTACTGTTTTAATAGTTTTATTTGAGGCATAATTTAGGGAGATAATTATTTTTAAAATATTTCCATTTCTTTAGGGACACCCTGTACAGTATTATTCTAACCCTTCTCCATTTCTAACCTTTACTTAGAACTCACCTTTATTCAGGAACTCACATCCCCAACCATGTCTTGAAAATAAAATCTGCAAGGAAATGCCTCGCTTGGGCCTGAAATAGACCGTGAAAACGACCGATTCCTCTGCCTCTGTCCAGTTCACCGAGCCAAGGAAAATGCTATTGAGTTCTTTGGAGTGAATATACGAGACCGACCCACTGCGATTCGTCCTCCATCTTGTGCTTGGAATTCATCTGCCACGCTCCATCAATCTTCATCTTATCTTTTATATGAACCGATGAACGTCTTTCCTATCTATGGGAATCTGCCACCGTAATGGCAAGGAAGATGCGACGTAGATCTCCCAGAGCGAGCATGCCGACTCCATTAATTAGCTCGGAGATCCAGTGGCCTAGATCCCCAAGGTTAACGCATTCCAGCCGCCCCCCTCCGCCTCATGCAGGTGCTCAGGTGAGTCTTATCCGCCTCCGACGTGGCCGCCATCTCCATTCATTTCCCTCGAGATATCACTACATCGTTCCTCACTCTCCTTCACCTCATAAATGTTTATGACATAATGAATAAGGCGATACGGTCCGGCAACGCATGAGGGAAAACGGTAAAAGGAGCGAATTTGAATATCGATTTGTTTCCATCAAATTCAGCATTGGCGAGCGCGTCTCAGTAGAGGAATCCATAATGCATGCTTCTCAGAGTGCACAAACTGCATTACGGAGCGTAAGCGGTGAAATTCTCCTGCTGTTATTTTTCAATTAAAGTACAGGTATGTCATGACCGAAAGGCATTGGGTCATCATGATTTTCCTTGCGTTTTCCAATATTTATTAATTTATTTTTGGAGCAGAAGGGAAATGAGGCGGTGTAGAAGCGGGAGAGGAGATTCAACACGTTGCCAGGGAAGACGGGAAGGAGCGAAGGGCAATCGAAGAGCCGGGGGCCCGGATTTCATTTCCGTATCTGAAATGAGAACTGTCTCATTAATCCCTCGGTCTCTCTGCCTGTGTTGCACATAGGACTTAGACCCTATCCTCAAGGGACCAATCTCGGGGATATAGAGCTTTACAATCAACGCCTGTATAACCCAGCAGCTGCATGATATGAAGACGTCTCCTCACCCCTAATCTCCAATGTTCTCCGTCGGGAATAATTCCCGAATGGGGCTTCTTTTGCAAAGGAGTCATTATCATTACCCCAGTGACGTCAGGAAATAATGTCAGGAATCGATTGCCTTGGAAAGCATTGCATGCAGGATTCCTCGAATGCTACGAGAGAAGGGCTTTTGTTCCCTTCGAGGAGGGAAGGTCAGGGTTACTCTCGCAGACGTTCATTCTCGGAACAGTCGGGAATGGGTTGGTTTCTTCCGCGCGTCTCGGCCTTGATTCCCGGCCAAAAAATCTTTTCTAACCCAGTCGCTCGTTGACGGACGTGCAGCCTATCATTCTCTCACTTTGCACGTGATAAATGTCCCTCCACGCTAGAAATAATACGCGTCGGCCTCATATTTATGTAGACTTTTTGGAAAGTTGCCTCTCTTCTCTTGGTGTGGGATAATTGACGCATATCAATCTACAGACTTCCAGCTTCGTTTATCTTCTTTATCGCTCTGGAAAACGTGGATTAAACCGGATTCCGTCAAACTACAGGAGACAAGAAAAGCGAAAGATTCACACGTGGATTCTTCACGACCTGTGGACCCAGTTACGAAAATCGAAATGTATCAACTCCTAATCCCCATGGTCTCGTTTCTTCGTTTGCATAATGATGCAAATGTCTCCGGTCGTCTCTCGGAAGAATCTTATCGTTTCTGCTCGCGTCATGAACTCACGGGCTTATTATGGGCTTCCATAAAGGGATTCATTGAGATTTTAGGCGAGGAGCTTAAGCGTTATGATCGTGATGTGCTTGTCTAAAAGGGCTCATTTTTCACTGAAGTTCCTGCAGCAAGATAAAGCTTCTTAAAGCCCATACGCAATAGATAAGCAAGAGGCTTTTCCTCACATGAGAGTCAGACCTCAAATCGAATTTGGGGCATGTAACGATTAAGATCTCTGGGTGATCCCGATGTGCCATCAAGAGCACTCAAGACTGCAAGATCGATGGGACAACACGGATGAGGCAGGCAATATGGATGAGGGCAACATGTATCATCCGTATTTCCTTGCGAAAAGAGACAGTTTCTCATTTATCACCTTCTCGACATGTCCCCACTGCATTATTTGCATGGAAAAGCGAAATACTCGCATGGACAGCGGGAATTAATTTCCTTGGGAGTTCTGCTCAGCAGTAAGCTGTAAATAATCAATGGTATGGGATAGGGACCGTCCGAAGTGAATATTTATGCAGCTAGTCTTTGCATCCATCTCCTGGGATGCCTGCATGGCTCTAGAGGCACTTGCATCAGGATCCCGACAGACACGAGTCGATAATATCAATAATTCTTTATGTATGTAACAAATACGGTGCGTCTCGTTTCCTCCATGTCATATCTGCAGCTATCGAAATAGCTCCGGAAGAGGAAAGTAGTACAGTGTGATGAGAGAGGGAGGAAAGCCTGAGGATGAATCCCATCATTCTTTCTTTGCCTTAAAGAGAAAAAAAATACTGAATTATGAATCCCGTCCAAAATGATATTCAACATACATTTTCGGACAGTACCTCGCTCGAGAAAAAGAAGACAAAGAAGGAGAATATATTAGAAGAGGATATCTTGCTACAGGCACTGAAATGACAGGGAAAATGGAGTGAAAGCAAAGGCCTGCGATTCAATCCTACAGATATTTTGCGCCAGTCGACTTAGTGGCATTCTAAGAGTATTTCCATAAATGCCACTTTCCCCATAGTGACATCCCAGACGAATCGCTATGGAAATGCACTGAGGGAGAAAAAGGACGAACATCTCCCTCCTCTTCTCCGTTTTATGCAAAATTGGAAGCAATGTCAACTGTTGAACCACGGACATCAGAGGTCTCCGAACAACAAAAGCTACATACTGTATATACCCAGGACTTTCGAGAATTTAAACAAGAACTCATATATACATCCGCTTCCTACGATAGCTAAATTGTGAAACTTGCTCTGCGCGTAGATGAATGTATTTCCACTAGATCTTCGAAATTTCAAACAAATTCGTCCTGCTGGGTCAAAGCTCCGAATAATTATTCACAAGTAGTTGGATACTGATTGTGAACTAGAGCTCGTGGTGGCAGCGGAGAAAAGAAAATGCGCGAGCTCTCTCCAATATAATTCAGAGCACATCCAACTTCTCTTTCATTCAAATTCACTCTTTGAGTGTGGGTGTTTTTGTGCAGATGATTTCGATATGCTTTCTTCCAATTTATGACCCATGAATCAATAAACATCAATGCAGAAAAGTTGCTCTAAAGCTTAGTCGGAATTTTACCGGGTTTATACGTTGGAGAAGGAGTTTAGTCACTTCGAAGGGAATCTAATCCCATATCCGATTTCCAATTTCTATTGAATAATTGCTCATAGCTCATAACCGTTTTAACAGCACCAATTTTAACGAACATTTCGAAATTTGTTGGGAAAATATTAATATATGCACTATGCAAATTCCGGGAAAATAGCTTTGGCAAGAACGGAGGAACATAGGTTAAAAGTTCTTGATCTTTTCCACCATACCCTGCCTCTTTATGTGGAAATATAATTATTCGTTTTGCTTCCCAATGGGATTTAGGTCCTGCACCCAAAAGATGGGATAAAGGTGGATGAGAAGAAGTACTACTGGTGTACCAGGAACTTTGATGCCCCCATGCAATGGAGAGCATTTGAAATCTACATGTTCCTTCTCGTCTTCGTCGTCCCCGGCTTGATCATGACCCTTTCCTACACGGCCATCTGCAGAGAAGTAGGAAAGGTGATGAGGGCCCGGGCACACATGACCAACGGCACCGGCTCCATGTAAGTCATCCCAAACCGCTAAGGAAGTTCTTCCGAAGACTTCAGTGACAAAGAGGCAGAAGGATTTCCTCAACTACAGGTAGTTGCTTTGGGGGAACTAGCGATGGAAACAGAAACTTCCTTCACACGAGCATTCAACATGAGCCCTCGGATCCAAGGGATACTGCTCTCATACCTCGAGAGCTCAAGAACCCATTTTTACGGCAATTTGACGCAAGCACAAACCATGAAGGAATTGGGAATGTTAGCCATAAAGAATTACAACAGCAGGGTGGCCATCATATCGGTTCACCAGAATTCCTATTGCTCCTCCTCATTCTTGCTTCATAAATACATTGGAGCGTCGATAAATATGAGACAGCATATGAGAAACAAGAGGCATTCTATCTGATTGGAAAGAAAGTTCTCGGAATTTCATGAACAATTATTACAACCCAGTTCATTTAAAAGCAAAATCATCTCAATCATGAATGTAATCACCATTGGCCTCTATCACTTCACGCCAACGTTTATGCAAACTATGGATGCCATTCCAATAGAACTCTGGCGGCTGCGCGACGAAAAAGTTGGCCAAATCGGTTTTCAGGTCGTCTCGGTTGGCGTACTGCTTTCCAACCATGTGACGGTCCAGGGCAACGAAAAGGTGATAATCGGACGGGGCAAGGTCGGGGCTGTAGGGCGGATGCGGCAGCACCTCCCAGCACAGGTCCAGTAACTTTAGATGAGTCTGTCTAGCGGTGTGCGGCCGGGCATCGTCGTGGAGGAGGATGGTTCTCTGTCTTTCTGGGCGTGTTTCAGCCAGTTTCTGCTGCAGCCGATCGAGTTGCTGGCAGTAGTAGGCAGCAGTGATGGTGGTGTTTTGCGGCAACAGCTCAAACATGATGATGCCTTTCGAATCCCAGAAGACCGAGAGCATGATCTTTTTGGGGTGCAACTCCTGACGGGGTTCTCTTTCGGCCGATGCTCCGGCGTCCACCCACTGACGTTTTCGTCGAATGTTGGCATAGAAGGTCCACTTTTCGTCGCCTGTCACCACTGAGTCTAGCCGATCCGTTCGGCGCGAACGTGACAGAAGGGAGATGGCCATGTCTACTCGTCGCTGGCGGTCCCGATCGTCCAGCTTGTGGGGTACCCAGCACCCCAACTTTGCCTTCTTGCCAAGCTCAGCCAGATGATGAAGGATAGTTGTATGGGAGACACCCAGCAAGTCCGCAAGCTCTCGCGATGTTTGCCGGTTGTTGGCCTCCAGTGCCTCCTGCAAGGCAGAGTTATCAAACTCCGAAGGACGACCGGTGCGTGGCTGGTCTTCCAGGCTTTCATTTCCTTTCTGGAAGCGACTGTACCAATCATAGGCAGTGCTCTTGGACACAGTGTCCGGGCCAAACGCGGTATTGATGTCAGCGATGGAATTGGCTGCCTTCTTCTCGATTCGGAAGTCATAAAGAAGAAGCAGGCGAACTTGCTCCTTAGTAAGAGGGTAGGGCTGGTTCATGGCTGGAGAGCACCAGGGCTGTAATAATATACGGTTGTATGCCGAAGGACACGACCTACTTATAAACACACGCAGAACATTCTAGCATGCTCTGGAAAAAAATTGTACTGGATATTCAAGAAATTCCGAGAACTTTCTTTCCAATCAGATAGAAAGGTTGTTCGCAATGGCGATGAATGAGCTCAATCAGTGACTATTCGTTTAAAATGATCTAATTATTGAAGCCACAATTATAGTTCTAGTTAGCTTTGCGTTCTTAAGAAACCAGGGAAGGAATACATCTAAAGAGAGAGTCAAAGTATAACCATGGCTAACGTAAATGAATCACACTCTTTCATCCGAATGTCCGAAGACATTTGGGTGAAAGAATGTGATCCATTTGCATTCACATTCCATTTATATTCATATTCCATTACATCCACACCATCCATTTCCATTCACATTCAATTTGCATCCAATTACATACATACTCTTTCATCTGAATGTCTTCCGATCATTGGCGGTTCGTGATATTTAGCGCTAGTGGTTCGTCTATGGAGAGGGGGTAGGCAGGGGAGGCCGCTGCCTACCCCCTCTCCATAGACGAACCACTAGCGCTAAATATCACGAGCCGCCACTGCTTTCGACATTCGGATGAATTCGATTCCTCGTTTCGCTAGGGTATGGCAGTACACACACGTTTGTGTCTCTGATATAGAGTCTCCGCGTCCACATGGGTGGGAGGGCCAAAAGGTCTGGAGAAAGGTTTTGCTCTCAACCTCGGCTATGCCAATGCGCCTGCGCCTTGGAATCATCTTTTCCATTTCTGCTGTGACTTCGTCAACCAATACAGGGTGGCGCAAAAGTCGCGCCCCATAGGGAAAGTTACAGTAAATGTTCAAATAGTTTGCCATAAACATGAAAACACTTCACATGATATTTGAACATATCTTAACGCCACCCTCTCATCTTTTGTTAATTTTGCAGCCATCACTTGCCTGCTAAGAAAGAAACAAGAGTTAATGCAGTGCAACAGTGAAATCCCCTATGGGGCGCGACTTCTGCGCCACCCTGTATTTCAGCCACCCTGCGCTGTAGATCTCTTCTTTCCTTTAACCCGGGAAACAGGCTCATAGCGAAAGCCTGCGAACAATTGGGCACCTTTCCCTGCGTAACGAATTCGTATGACCGTCCCCTCTCAAGTATATGGTAGCCGTAAATTCAATAAATTAATTAAATTTAAAGATGTACTTGTATATTGTGCAATCCTGCACAACATGATTTTTAATGCATGTAAAGAAGTCTCAGTGTATAAAAAGGAGTGGATTGGCAAGCAACATATTGCAATACCGGTGCAAAAATCTTGAGATCAATGAATGCGCCATGAAAGTCGATGCATATCCTAAGGCGTTTCACACACGGCTTACATTGGCAATATAATTTCTGGATACCCATGTGTCGATGTAACTTGAGCTGATATGTGCCTGCTTATCATGCTGATTCGATTCAACCCATATGAAACAGCATATTGTGTTCGAAGGGGGCGGCAGTGATAACCAGCGATTAATTCTACCTTCTATGTTATCATTGAAAAATTATTATTAAGAACTGTGTTATAATTATTTAAATAAAAAAAGAAATTCTGAAACTCATAAACGTTCAAGGCGCTGTTTTGGTCCTGTTGCGACTAGCTTTGTTTCACTTCAGAATACGTCACGCTACCTTACTTATTGCCGCCTTTCGATTGTTTCTTCTTGAAACTAAGTCATTAAAGAAATACTTAGATTATCTCGATTCTCGGAACGAGCTATATAGCAGATAACTCTGCATCACGAGGCCTCTAGCGTGACGGCAGTCTCAAGAAGAGACGAGAGAGTGCGTCTGTCTTCTCAACCCCTTCCCGTGACGTCAACATCCATCTTCCACCTCTGTTCCGCTCATTTTTCTCATTAGAGCAGCGTGGTTGGCAACAGAATGACCGAGTAGGTACTGGCATATGTACAGGCACATGCACAAACTTACGCCTACGTCGTTTCACTTAAAAATCCCAAAGGACTTGAGGGCGACCACGCATGGATAGCATTTCATACGAGTTCATTCAGGTTTCTTCCCAGACTTAATCATGAATATTTGTTTCCTGTAAGCCTATTGGTATAATGAATGGGACTTACTCAGGTGCTGGCGGTAGATCAGGCCATTTTGACTGAGATGGATGAGTGCACTCATCTCCAGTCCAAATGTGCGAATGGGCCGTGACGTCAACTTCTGAGCTGTCTGAGGAAATGAATGCAGACTGTATGAAAAGACGACGAGTGAAAAGGGGGAGACTCGAACTTAATGCCTCCTCGAGCAGCGTCAGGCCTAATTGCTTTTTTTTTGTTTTTCGTGCGCATAATATCAAGGTTTCACGTTCAGTGTATGTTCATAAAGATACCGTACCCTAACTTGAAACCACTCTAAGATCAATTTTTGTCCTTGTCTTCTGCACCCAGGGAAGAATGCGAGGAGTTCGGAGGGTATGCAAAATATTCTCGTCGTGGAAACGAGACCAGCCTGAAGGTATCCCGATGCACAGAGGAAGACGCAGCCACGTCTCGACAGGTGATGACGAAAAAGGTCAACGCAGGGCAGGCGAAAACCAAACGCATTTCTTCTTTTCCCATCCGTCTTTCCTCCTTTTGCTCTTTTTCCGGCATGCCTTGTCACCGACATTGCATTCACTTTCCGTTTCTTTGTTGCACTCACCGTTTGTCCCGCGCACCGATGCAGTCATCCTGCTGATCTCCTACATGTTGTGTGCTGTTTGAATGATGGCTGAAGTGAGAGTCTATGCATTCTCCGTCAACAACCTTTCTGACTAGAAATTGTCCATATACCTGTAGAAGACAAGCACTATGACAGTCGTTTAAGAACGTTTGAACATTTTCTGGTAAAATGTATCATTCTGCGTCGTAAAAACAGTTCATGTCATTCGTTGGATTCATGCAAACAGCGAAGTTGGAAGAGAGTGATTCTGGGCGTCTCATGATGTCACAGGAGGCGAGAGTGTTGATTAAAAATGACTTGAGCATTTCATGATGCCGCAGGCAGTGAGCATATAAATCAATGGTATCAGTGAATCGGAACTTCATGATGTCGCTATAAACGCCAACACCAGTGAGTTTGGGGGGGGGGGGGGGGCTTAGGGGCAGATGGGCAGTGAGGCTCATGCTCCTGTCTCCCCTCCCCCTCGTGAAAGTTGAGGGCGAGGGACAATTTCACCGAGTTTAGGCCCGGGAGGTTGAGTATTGAATCATAACCAAGAAAAGATCTTCAGAATCTATCGAAGTAAGAGAATTTTCATTTGATTTTGGTCACGCGAAGAAAAGGTCGCCAGAATCTGGCTTTTCATAAATAGCCCCCGTGCCATCTTTCCCTTGAATTTACAATTCGGCATCTATGAATGCTCCAGGCGGCTGGTTGTAATCTGAGTATTTCAAGTCGTGAAAGAAGGGTATTTCAACGTGTCACAGGCGACGAGGATGTCGGTTAGATTTGAACTAGATATCTGATGATGCCACAGGTGGTGAGGATGTTGGTGGTGGTCGTGCTGCTATTCCTCCTCTCCTGGGGTCCATTCCTTATGGAGAGTGTCCTCACTTCCTTCGGCGTGATCGACGAACTTCATACCTCACCAGAGTTGAAGCACATGAGGCTCGCTTTTGCACTCATGGCTTACTTCAACAGGTCTGCTGTTCTCGATCAAAAATTTTCGTGAAGTTTTCGCTGGATGTCGTGCATGCGATGATCGCTATTTGCAGCGAGCTCACGTACAACTACATGCTGATGACTCACATGGGGCTTGGAGAAAAATGAGGCTTCATCTGTCAATGCATAATAGAAATCACTGGTTCTAATCTGCCTTTTCCTGTTGATGAAAAAAGTTATAGCCCCTAAATTAATCTCGTTTCATCTTCATTCTTCGTGAATGGAATTTTAGGGGGATGGGATGCTTCTTTTTCACTATCACAGAGTCGCTTCTTTTTCTTAAATGAATATTTAAGAAAAAGAAGCGACTTCAAATATTCAAATTTCTGAAAATCCAGTTATGAAACCATCTCGAGCAGTTATGCACATATAGAGACAACAGTCACTATCACATTGATAGGAGAAAAGAAAAGCGAAAGGAAGTCAGGAGAAAGGCAGAGAGCCTTATCCCCCCCCCCCAGGTAAGTCGCCTTCAGCATGCGCTCCAAAACTGCTTCTGGACTGCCTGGAAAATGGAATACAGATTTAACCGAGAAGAGGAAAAGAATTTGTGATATGCTTCAAATTTACTCGGAGTTTAAGCTTATTTGAAGGAGTAATTAAGAAAATTTAAAATTGGCAATTCAATCCTCTCCGTTAAAGGAATAAATGATAAATAATATATTGAACATCATTCATTGGAATATAAGCCATTTTATTGGGCTATGCCCAGTTCATTCGCTTTTCCCTCCTCGAGAGAGTCAGAATTGCTATATCACATGACAATATCGTAACAACTTGATACACGTGCAGACTGTGTTTGGTGAAGAGCATCCATACCGAGACCAACAACTACGGCATCTCAAATTTCGGGTTTATTGTCATTTGTGACTGTCAGAGCATTACTGAAGCGGTGAAGCTGCAAAATTTAGTCCTTCAGTCACAGTTTTTATATGTGCATTTAGATCAGGACTTGAGATCCCAAAAGTTAAAATACAGACCCAATTGAAAATGGGGCATGGCAAGTACTCCGCTCTATTCAATGGGAATCCTTTATTTTTCGTGCATAGATTGACTACTGTAGACCTCGGAATGACGTCACATCTTTCCTCCTCCCACTCTGAGAATACTAAGAATTAATTTCTCTGACCCTTGTTTAAAAAACCTGAGTACAGAGGAGCCTCTGCACTCATCAAGCATTTCAGCCAGGAGCTCGAGGTCTATTATAGGATCCACCTTCTAAGAAAGAAAATCCGAATGACGAAATTTATCATAAAAGTGTTATAATACGCTTTCGTTCCACAAATGGAGAATAGAAGAACGTGCTCATTGAATCTGAATTTTGTTGGGGTACCAATGGAGGACGTCCTAAAGCGCTTTTCCAGCTTAAACTCAAACGACGTTAGAGAACGGAATCTGCCAAATCACAGGACGAAAGATTGGGCTTCATTCCGAGGTCTAAAAATGTTTTTTCTATGTGCACTAAGTAAATAATTATTTCATATTTTATAATTAAAAAATAGTTGCCACTCAATATGATTTGATGGACACGCTTTTTGACCACCCTGTACATGAAACTCTAGTTATGTAATGCATGGTACGTTCCGGAGAGCGGAAATCCCAGAGGAGCTTTCCGCATTTCATTACAGATACACGGAATCCCTCCTTCATAATCACTGGGCAATAAATATGGAAATCATCCAGAGGTGGAGAGAGAAATTTCCTGCCATAGAGAGGAAAATGGCCACATGCGTGCTCAAGTAACACCCGGCTGATTCCTTTTAGCGAAATGGCATCTCGTATCGCGTCTGCTTCATCTCGTTGGTTATGTGGATCACCGAAAATTTCGTTCCGATGCATATCTCTCGTTTTTTCCGAGTCCTGCAAGATGTTTCTCCGGGACAATGAGACTTAACTCGAGCGAGCACGAAATCTTCGGTGCCAACTTCAGTTATCTGATTTGACATTCTCAGGATACGAGCAATTTCACCGGGCCTGTCAATAATTCTATGAATTTCCATTCTCAGTTCTTTCTGCCACCTTTGAAGGACGCAGTTAAGGATAGATTCGAAACCTTTTAAGCAGCAGAGACCATCGAGTCCCCAGGTTCGTTATGTGTTATAGGTGATGGGCGCATGATGAGACTTGGAGAGCTGCCAAACGGTTCCCCGTCCAATTAAACTCAGTCGGTGACAGACGACGATGGTTAGGCCTCGAAGGATGAAATTAAAGACGAAAAAAAAAAAGTTGCCTTCATTTCTTAATGAGCGGCTATCTGTCTAAAACAATTCCTTCGTCTCGCCGGGAGAAAAAAAAATAGATGGAAATCGTCCTGCGTTTTCCCCGCAATCGATGGAAATCCATCAGATGATGGAGAATTTTCTCGTACTCGCGTGATTCCCCAGATGTGAAAAAAAAATTAAGAGCGCTTCTGCCCGATACGTCGGATCTTTGCAGATGATCCGGATGGAACATTCACGACGGTTCAACGAGTACCACCATCCCCATGATCCCTGTTTTCATTTACACCGACAAGGCTCTCCTGGGACCCTCTTTCCATCGTCCAAATACTCGAGCAGAGAGAAGGTCGAACATTCCGCGTTGGACAGTTGGAAGAGCCACTTCTCCTTCCTCCTTTCTCCTTCGGACAGGAAGAAGAAGTGGTTCTCTCCCGGTCAGACATACACTTTAATGTTTGTGCTTTCTCTCCTTCCTGAGACGGAAAAGAAATGGTGCTGGGGCTGAGTAAGTAATTCGGTACATTAATTCCGTGCGTGCGCAGCAATCTCGAAATTCTGTCAAGGTAGTAGATACGGCATATCAATCTCACGATTGCGATGGAAATAAACTCCAAGCACTCGCGAAATGGAAGCTATAAGGAGTCGAACGAACCACGAAGCATCCAATCACCTCAAATGCATTATGTGGCGATCGATGTTAGTGTCGCTTTTAATAAAGAGATCTTGCTTAAAGGGATCTTGCTCCGAATCCCTTCAATCAGCATTTAAATAAATAAATAAATAAATAAATAACCCTCGACCGTTGCACGTGAGTGACCTAATTTCGATCATGCACTCAAGATTCATTGTTACTCCCGGCATCCGGCGATACGTCGATGAGTAACGTTGACGACCCCACATTCAGAAGATGGAATCCTTTTTCTTTCCAGCTGCGTGAACCCAATCGTCTACGGGTTCATGTCGCGAAACTTCCGCGAAGGTTTCCGGCAGGCGCTGAGCATCTGCTGGAAGAAGAAGCTGAGCCGGAGAGCCCAAGCCACTCGCACCACCTCCCTCTACACCAACAGGTCCGTTGGGTCCGCCCATCGAATGCATTCGTCGCAAATGTTGTCTTAATTGAAATGCATGTTCCGTGGAGATGAGACGATCGGTCGGACGTGGGATTCATGGGGTCCAAAATAAAAATTGAGTTCACGTTATAGAATGTCGTGGATGTTTCGAAAGACACGATCAAAATTTTCTCCGGTGTTATTCGTGCCCTCAAAATGCGTTGCACATCTTTATGGGTTTCGTTGGTGTTCTTTTGGTTTCTTCATTGTCATTCTGGTATCAGCCCTTCTTGGAATCCTCAGAAGGAAGAGAAAAATGAGTCTCCTATTGGATGGGAAGTCGGCTGAAATAGCGACGTAAATGAGGCTATTCGAATCCCAGGTCACGGGTTCATATGGATCATGTGGGTCATGCTGTTCCTTGGAACGGCACGGATAGACCGCCTTCATTGCCTTTATAACGCTCACGAATTCCCAAGCGTTGGATCGATGGTGCCACAAATTGCTCCAAACAAGGGATACTTATGCCTAAATTGCGGGGACGGGGCCTGGTAGAGGATTAAAGAAAGCTCTAGGACGGGAAAGAAAAGTTTGCAATTCGATGCGATTCCTTTTTTTAATTTTGAACCGACACCTTGCAGAATCGCTGAATCGAGGAATTTCAAGTTCAAGAACTCCTATTTTGCTGATCTCCTTATTTTGCTGCTTCAAGGTATTGAATAAGCATCAGCAAGAGCGTCATGCAATGCTATGTGCACTTTATTAGATTTGTCTTGCAACACAGAAAGTTTCAGGTACCGTTAAAGTGTATTCCCTTGCAAAGCTCGATTGCATCGCCAACATATCCCTCATCGTCACATAAGCGTGAGCAGTCTCTGAACTTCGACTGAGAGGATTTCGCAACTTTAAGCATTTCATAATGGTCAGTGATGCGAGACTTTTTATTCTCACTCGTTGCCGCCTTAGCAAGCAGGACCAAAAATATATTGAGGTCTGTAAATAAGTAAATGTGGGCACGTGGACACATATTTATGACTATTATTGTCACAGAATACAGGAAAGGGCAATTCTCTCTCCATCGAACCTTGGGGCCAAAATGATGAATATCCATTGAAAATATGTATATAGAATTTCTAGGAAAAGATGCAAGCTGCTATACTGAGTGTCATTTCTGTCCATCTCAAAACATCTAAATGAAATCTATAAATGTTGCGTGCAGTTCTATGTACTTGAGGCGAGGATCGGCAATGTTGGACTGACTACTGTGCTGTGAGTGGGTGGACCTCGAAGAAGTGGATCGATCTCCTGCGCCTCCACCCCCTCCCTTATCCATCAACTCCTGACTCCATCGTCTATTCCTCAGTGGGCACAAGACTGCGCCGAATGCCAACATATTTTCCTGTCATCCTCTTCTGTATCATACACCTTGTGGATGTCGAAGCATGATTGCTTTGTGTTCCTCTTTCAATGTGCGAACGTACGTATGTGGATATCTTTTCTGAGGACGTTGCTACAGGGTGATTCTTTCGTTTTAGTACCCTGCCTGAGTTATTCACGTTTTTTAGGGTACTAACACGAAAGAATCACCCTGTATCACATCAGGTGGGGTAATGCATTCCTTTTTTTTAAGTAAAAAGAAAAACATCTCCGCACTGCAATGTGAATGGTGAACGAGCAGATTCTCAAACAAAAGCCAGTACCTGGTGTACAGTTCACACTGGTCAACAATCTACAGGGTACTT